ATTTTCTCTGACCACAAGGGACTCAAGCTGAAAACCAAACGCAAAGGAAAAAAACCCAAGCACTCAAAATCATGGAGATTGAATGGCATCCTATTTAACAACAAAAGGGTCAAGAATGAAATCAAGGAAGAAATCAAAAAGTTTCTGGAAACAAATGAAAATGAACTCACAACAACCCAAAACTTATGGGATACAGTGAAGGCAGTCCTGAGAGGGAAGTTCATAGCAATACAGGCCTACCTTAAAAAGGTAGAAACATTTCAAACAAACAATCTAACCCTACGCCTACAAGAGCTTGAGGAACAACAACAAAGACAGCCCAGAGCAAGTAGAATGAAGGAAATAACCAAGATCAGAGCAGAACGAAATGACATAGAGACTAAAGGCAGAATTCTTAGGATCAATGAATCCAAGAGCTGGTTTTCTGAAAAGATAAACAAAATAGACAAGCCTTTAAGTAGGCTCATCAAGAAAAGAAGAGAGAAGACCCAAATAAACACAATCAGAAATGAAAGAGGAGAGACTACAGCTGACACCACAGAAATAAAAGGGATTGTAAGAAATTATTATGAAGAACTTGTATGCCAAGAAATTTTAAAACCTAGGTGAAATGGACAAATTTCTAGAAAAACATAATCTTCCAAAACTCAATGAAGAAGTAGCAGAAGATCTGAACACCAGTAACAGCAGACAAAATTGAAGCAGTAATCAAAAAACTTCCATCACACAAAAGCCCCAGACCAGATGGTGTCACAGGAGAACTGTACAAAGCATTTAAGGAAGAGCTAACCTCTATTCTTCACATACTATTCTAAAAAATCCAAAATGATGGAAGACTCCCAAACTCTTTTAATGAATCCAGCATCATCCTAATTCCAAAACCAGATAAAGACACGACAAAGAAAGAAAAATTCAGGCCAATATCACTGATGAACATAGATGCTAAAATCCTCAACACAATATTGGCAAATCGTATCCAACAATATATCAAAAAGATCATACACCAAGACCAAGTGAGATTCATCCCAGGGATGCAAGGATGATTCAACATTCGCAAATCAGTAAATGTAATACATCACATAAACAAAAGCAAAGACAAAAATCACATGATCACATCAATAGATGCAGAAAAAGCTTTTGATAAGGTACAATACCCATTTGTAATAAAAAAAACACTCAGCAAAATGGGAATAGAGGGAGCATTCATCAATATAATAAAGGCCATATATGAGAGACCTACAGCCAACATCATACTCAATGGGCAAAAAATAAAATCTTTTCCACTAAGATCAGGAACAACACAAGGTTGTCCACTTTCACAACTTCTGTTCAATATAGTATTGGAAGTTTTAGCCACAGCGATCAGGCAAGAAAAGGAAATAAAAGCCATCCAAATAGGAAAGGAGGAAACAAAACTGTCACTGTTTGCAGATGGCATGATAGTGTACATGGAAAATCCTATAGACTCTACCCAAAAACTGCTCAAACTAATTAATGAATTTGGCAAAACAGCAGGTTACAAAGTCAATATCCATAAATCAAAGGCATTTTTGTATACTAACAATAAATCAGCAGAAGTAGAAATCAAGAAAGAAATCCCATTCCATATAGCAAAAACAAAAATAAAATACCTGGGAATAAACCTAACCAAGGAGGTAAAAGACCTATATTCAGAAAATTACACAGCACTGAAGAAAGAAATCAAGGAAGACACAAACAAATGGAAACATATATCATGTTCTTGGATCAGAGGAATTAACATCATCGAAATGTCCATACAACCCAAAGCAATTTACAGATTCAATGCAATAAATATTAAGATACCAATGGCATATTTTACAGACATAGAACAAACACTTCAAAAATCTATATGGAACCATAAACGACCCCAAATAGCAGATGCACTTTTGAGAAAGAAGAACAAAGTAGGAGGGATCACAATACCTAATATCAAATTGTATTACAAGGCCACTGTAATTAAAACAGCCTGGTACTGGTGTAAAAACAGGCACATAGATCAATGGAACAGAACAGAGATCCCAGAAATAAACTCAACTCTCTACAGTCAATTAATATTCGACAAAGGGGACAGTAACATAAAATGGAGTAAAAATAGCCTCTTCAACAAATGGTGTTGGGAGAATTGGACAGCTATGTGCAAAAAAACAAAACTTGAGAACGACTTACACCATACACCAAAATAAATCAAGGTGAATAAAAGACTTAAATATAAGCCGTGAAACCATTAAAGTCCTAGAGGAGAACATTGGAAGAAAATCTCAGATATTTCATGCAGCAACTTTTTTACTGATATGTCCCCTAGAGCAAGGAATATAAAGGAAAGAATAAACAAATGGGATCTCATTAAAATAAAAAGGTTCTGCATGGCTATAGAAAACAGTATTAAGATAAAAAGACAACCAACTGTATGAGAAAACATGTTTGCCAATGATACCTCGGACAAAGGTTTAATCTCCAAAATATACAAAGAAATTACACCACTTCACTCTAAGAAGACAACTAACCCGATTAAAAAATAGGCAAAGGACTTGAACAGACACCTCTCCAAGGAGGACATACTGAGGATCCAGAGACACATGAAAAGATGCTCAATATCACAAGCTATCAGAGAGATGCAAATTAAAACCACAATGAGATACCACTTTACACCAGTCAGAATGGCTATCATAAACAAAGCAACAAACAACAAATGTTGGAGAGGTTGTGGGGAAAAGGGGACCCTAGTTCACTGTTGGTGGGATTGCAGACTGGTACAACCATTATGGAAGACAGTATAGAATTATCTCAGAAAACTAAAAATGAACCTGCCTTTTGACCCAGCAATTCCACTGCTGAGATTATATCCTAAGAACCCTGAAACACCAATCCAAAAGAACCTATGCACCCCAATGTTCACAGCAGCACAATTTACAATAGCCAAGAGCTGGAAACAACCTAGATGCCCATCAGTAAATGAATGGATCAAAAAATTATGGTACATATACACAATGGAATACTATGCAGCAGAAAGAAAGAAGGAGCTCCTACCCTTTGCAACAGCATGGATGGAAATGGAAAACATTATGCTGAGTGAAATAAGCCAGGCATTGAAAGACAAATACCATATGATCTCACCTTTAACTGGAAGCTAAACAACAAAACAAACAAGCCAGCAAAATTAAAACACAGACACTGAAATAGAGAACAGGGCGGCAGCGAACAGAGTGGAGAGGGAAGGGAATTTAAGGGAGAAAAGGTGAAGGATTTACAGGAACTAGTATAAAGGACAGATGGACAACAACTAAGTGGGGTGGAAATGGGAGGGAGGTTGGGAGCACGGGGAGGGGATGGGAGTAAAAGACAGAATACTGTACTTAAAAAATAATTAAATAAAAAATTATAAAAATATATAAATCAACAGAAAATATATTGTGCATACATTTCTGTAACTTTTTGAAATAAACTCAGTAATAAATGTACATCTTATGTTAACACACACAGGTCCTTCTACTGCAGTATATCCATGATAATGGATATACTACTGTTTAAATAGCCCTCCCCCAATAAACAGTTATTATACTGATCTTTATCTATGAAGTGCAACACTATGATAAGCATTTAAAATATTCATCTTTATTCACATGTGCACGCGTTTCTCTAGGAGCAGAGACTACAAAGATATAAAGAAACAAGTTCAGAGGAGAGGAGATGAAGGTCACTCCAGGTAGAGGGAAGATCAGGGACAAAGCTCTGAGGGAGAATGGAGCAAATTCATGTTCTGATTATTGTGTTGGATGATCCTCTATTCCATGTTTCTAATGTGCAATGGAACTACAGTTTAAGAGCTGATTTGATATGCTCCCTCTGAAATTACTGTCCTAACATACAGTTGTTGTGTTATTTGTTCAATCAGTCACTCAGGTCATTCTAAAGATAGTAAATCAATACAAGGAAAATGTAATCCAGAAGAGGAGATACAGTAGGAGGAAATGTTATAGAATAACACAGTTAGACCACAGAGAAATGGTCTAAGAAGGAAAAAACATTTTGCCTTTTTCAAATCACAGGGAAAAACAAAATTTTGATCAATGTGACAGAAGTCATACTAAAAAGAAAAAAAGAAAAAACAAGAGCGTGAGAGGCAAAACCAAAATATTAGCAATGGGTCCAAATAAATCAGTAATCAAAATACATATACAAATTAATTATTTGATGTAATCAAAAATTTAAAAACCTTGCTGCATATTGCTTAAGAGAAAATACTAGAAACAAACAACCAAGAAAGCTGAGTACATAGCATGGGATTTTGCAGCTGCCCCTGTGTGAAGAGAATGAAGTCCCTCCCCTTCACCAACCCACTGTGTCCACCACACCCTTAAAGTGATATCCCGAGGGAAGGTTGATTCTGCTGAAGGACAAGGAGACTCCAAGAGAACGAGTTAGCGAACTAAGTTAATACCTATAAGGTGGGATCTCAGAAAAAAGACAAAAGACAGAATTTCTAAAAGTTAATATTTACATACAAAAGGGGAATGAAAGGAAAGCTGGCAGAAACTAAGCAGAGAAATTAATTTTACAGCAAGGGATATAATCAAAATTAAGAAAATTATGTACTTTCATATGACAAATAATAAAGAAACCAAGTGTTAATAACAGATATTACCTTTCTATCACTGGTCCCTCAACACTCATTCTTTAACAACTTGGCATCTTTTATGAACTGTGTATAAAAGCATATTTCTAAACCTTCTAAAAACACAGTAAGAACAGATGGGAAACCATCGAGATCAAAACTGTGTGTAATACTTCTGTGCACAAGTGCTTAATAAAAAGTTCAGTCAAGGCACACTTTAACACTTTGCTCATAATCCTCACATTTAGTTACTGTGAGTGCCAATGTTAATATCTTATTACATAAAATGTAACATGAAAACAAGTTGGAGTCACATAATTTCTTAAGCATTTTAATACTTTATTTTTTATTTACATGTTTTAGTGCATTATTTACTAAACATAAACATTCCTTTGCCTTCAATATTCCTGTATGTATGGAAGTCTAATTTGTCTAACAACTCTATTAATGTGCTTAAAGATTGGAAATCTGTATTGATGTCCTGTGTATTTGATGTTAAATAATAGAATGCACCAGAGGGGATCAAACAGTCATAGACACTCAGCAGCCAGAGTTTGTGCTCAGCTCCCCCTGCAGTTTCTGTCACTGTGTCACTCACAGCACAGTAGTACACTGCCGAATCAGACTCCTCCACTGAGGTTTTCTCCAAGTGAAAAGAATTTTGTTGTTTGTGGTGTGTGGCTTCAAAACCTTTGTTGCTTTCCTTAACATCGGCTTTGGTGGCTTTCAGGAGGAGCACTGGACCTTCTCCAGGAGACTGAACATACCAGAAGAGAGTGGGGTAACCTGTGTATTCATAGGAGCAGTTCAGAGTCAGGGGATCCCCTTTGGACAGGGTCACTTGGCCTTCCGTCTGGGTCACTGAGTCTCCACGGGTTTGTCCTGGGGAAAAATAAAAGAAAACTCTGTCACCGTGGTCATAAAGCTCTTAAATTAAACCAAAGTTTACAAAGTTGTTGACAGGAGAAAGAATCTATATTTTAAGAGGCATGTTACTTACCAAGCACTAAGAGAACCACAGTCACTAAGCCTGGACACCAGTTCATCTCTACAGTGTTGCCTAAATGATGTTCTTGACACTTACCATGAGGAAATGTTGAAGTCACAGTGAAACTCTAAGTCAAAGCCTACATTTACCAGGAAATGTGTTCGTGTTAACAAGTATCACCCCCTGGTGGACAGACGAGGGATGCATATTTCTTAGCTTCCTCCCCAAATGGCAGTGTGTTCTCATCACTGACTTATTTATGAGGCACATGAACCTCTTCAGGTGATGCTTAGAAATCTATACAATAGCAACCTAAGCTCGCAGGTCTGTTTTTCTTTAGGACAATACCCGACATTGAAGTATTTAACAAAGCATGCAAGGTATACCTGTAGTTAGAAGACATTGATTTCCTTGAGCATTTTAATACAGTACATTATATTCTCATGTACCCCCTGGAGGCCTGCATATAATACATTGAATGTCAGAAAATGGTTTGGGACTGAAATCAGAAGAAATAATAAGAAGTCTAGTTTTGACTGAGTAATTCCTAACTTTTCGGCATTGTACCAAATATAGAACAGTGACTGACATTTCTTACATGCCTAGTAAATACTTGTTATATTAAACAGAAATAAACATTTTTTCATTGAGGATTTGCTACCACATGACCTACAATATTTTCTCAGTCTTCAAATATTAGCCATTGTAAGAACTGTTATCTCTTTAATGAAATTGTTCAAGAGGTAGAAATCATAAGTGAAGGTACTAAATCAATAAAGAGTGATCTTAGATCAATATCTTAATCTCCCAGTACTTTGTTCCTCCAAGGTAAGATAGTTAACCAATGTGTCACATGCACTGACCAGCAGTGCCGTGGCGTCATGGATGAGACATGAGACAAATTCACACAGACTACCGAGTCCTGTGGAGGAAAAGGGCCAGGGACGGCTACTTCCCCAAGGGGGGAGAGCCTCAGAAGGGCCTCGCCACCCTCTCAAAGGGAGCACTGCTGCAGCAGCCAGGCAGATCTCTCACCAGGGGAGAGAGAGCGCCCTGACCCTTGCCTAGCCAGGCTTTTATTGGGATTTTTGCACGGGAGTTCAGATAAAGCTTATTAATCATTGTCAAGCAGTAAACAGTAGATCACATACAAGGAACCATTAGAGTTTCTTCTAAATCAGGGACTGTCAGCTAAAAGGCTACAGAACTTTGGGAACATAAACTCTTCTGCTCAGGCCCTTATCATCTAACTAAAAGCATTCTTAAACAAAGCAAGTCTCAAGGGTTTCACATATTTCTTCTCAGGCCTAATTACCCAGGAACCCTGCCATTCACAACACAAGGCTTGCACTGCCTTCCCCATCATAGGTTTTTAGGCTTAATTGGATTAGAGCCAGGAAGCACTTCTCCCAGAGGATATGGAAACTTGAACTTCATCGCAGCTGGGCAGGGGATGGGGGGATAGGGTCCATCGCTCCCTCTTTGTTGCAGCCCCCCCGCCAGTCCTTCCAAGATGGCCTCCCAAGTGATTGTGTCTGGCCTAGGTTGTCCCTCCTCTGAGGGGTCTCACCTGTCTCTGACCATCTGACCATACTCTGGGGGCAAGGAGATGAAGCAGGGGCAGCATCTGCTGCCAGAGACAAGCCTTGTCTCCTCAGTGGCTCACATTCCAAAGGTTTCTCACAGCCTTAGACAGTTGCAATTCCTGACACCAGGCAGGGCAGTCCTCAACACCAATGTGAGTCAAGCAAGGAATATTAATTCTATAGCCTTAATGTAGATTTAGTATTGAAAATGCTTTCTACTACCATGTACCTGCTACATTCTCTGCCCAAACTTGAACAACATAATCCCCCACACACAGTGGAGAGTCCTGGAAATGTGGAAATGTATGAAACGCCTGGAGCATCTGTTAGAACTCTCTTCCTTATCACCTAGCAAATTGTTAAAGATATGCCAGCAATTATTCATACAACAGCTGATAGTATCAACGCCAGTGAGCAAAAGCTACAGATTCTGGGATTTCAACATTAACTTGAAAAAACATATTTTCCAGAATTGAGACCCACTGATATGAAAATTTTAAAGCTCCACCAGGTGGTTTTGTTACTGTGAGCCTGATCATACCCATTTACAAGATATCTTTTGTGGTAACTGGCCTAGACCAAAGTGATTCTAAAAGATGAGGGAGAAAGTTCTGGGATCTGCATGGGAAAATGTCCCAATGGCAACACAAATTTTTAAAAACTAGTCTTTTTCTATGAAGTGTTAGCAGCAAAAGCAAGCACTTCTTTGGTTCACTTTTTATGGCCATTCTTTTATAAAACAACACCAAAAACCGCTGAGAATTATTAGGTAAAGTTCTAGGGAAGGACACATCTTTCTTTAAACATTTATCCACAGACACGGAGATGGACACTTAGTTCAGGCTGTTTCCTGCAGTTCTCACTACACAGACTCAGATCAATGGGCTTCCTGAGTCCTTGAGTCAACCTGTGAAGAGTCTCCTGGAGGTGGACGTAGGAAATCCAGGTCCAGGTGCTTCACTTCTCCTCCACCTCCCAAGTTACATTCTCAGAACCTGCCACAAAACTATGCTAGAAAGGAATTCTGAAAAAGCAGCTATGGACTTTTATTCTGCTCTACAAGGGGAAACAAAATAAGTTGGGGTAAAGTTGGATTGAAAGTAAACCGTGCAGCACATGGGTATACAGAGTTGTTATGTACAGTTTAAGAAACACAAAATGTAAAGCCAATGAGAACCAAAAGAAGAAACATTCTGCATTTTGTGTCACATAAGAAAACTTGCAGAGCATGAAGGAAAATACTTGTTAAATTTTTATTGCAATGGTTTTGTGAATGCATAATTTTCGTGCACCTATTTGTAGTAAGCAATTCTTAAGAGATTAGACATTTTTATATACTTGTAAAGCCATCACCACAGCCAAGATAATGACCACAGGCATCAACCAAAAACTTGCCCCTGTCTCTCTGAAACCCTTCCCTCAACATCACCCCACAACACATTTCTGCTTTCTGGCAACATCTTTGTCACAAATTTATTTGCTTATTTTGTGGTTTTACAAAATGGCATCATATGTTCTCTTTTGTCTGGCATCTTTCTCTCAGCATAATTATTTTGAAATTCTACCATGCTCTCATAAGTGTCAATAATTCATTCTGTTTTGTTGCTGAGTCCCACTCCATTATAGAGACAAAAATTATGTGTTATATATTCACCCGATGATGTACATTTCTGTTGGTATCGGTTGTGGACTGTTATGAACAAAGGTACTATGAACATATTGTATAAGATGTGTTTTAAAACATATACTTTCATTTCTCTTTGGTCAATACCTGAGAGTAGAATGGCTGGATTGATGATAGGTTTACAACTGTCTTGTTAAAATTGATTACTTGTTCCAGTAGCACTTTTGTACATACCCCTAGGTTCTCTACTAGATAATCATGATGTCTTCAAATTAAGATAGGTTTATATCTTTCTTTCTGCATGCTTTTGTTTCTTTCTCTTGCCTTACTGCACTGTCAGAATCTCTACTACAATACTCAATACAGAGGTGAGAGACAAAATTCATGATCTTGGGGGAAAGTATTCAGTCTTTCACCATCGTGCATGACATTAGATGCAGGGTTTGGTAGAGGCTTATCATGAAGTTGGAGAAATTGCCTTTGATTCTGAATTTGCTGGGAGTTCATAATAAGAAGTGGAGACTATATTTCTCAACTATTTTTTCTGTACCTGCTCAGGTTATTTGCATTAATTGACTATCTGCTGATTTGATTATAAGTCTCTTTGAATATATTATTAATAAACTGTCACAATCAAATATTAAGGATGACATTACTCTTTCATTTAACACACAATGAAACAAAGCTCACAAGTGCCTTGAAAGCATGTGACAGAGCTAACAGTATTCACCACAGTTCTCTCTGATAGCAAAATTCTGCTTCTTGGTTTTATCACTGCTGATTAGTTTCAGAGAAAAATGAAAGACTAGAAGGTAGCAAAATAACTTCTTGAGCCTTTGAAATATCTCAAGACACTATGTCAGCAGACTCCTTAGTTATACAAATTGAACTAATAAAAATAATTAAATAATTTCAGGTTTTGATTTTTCAAAGAAAGGGAGAGGAAAACATGAAGGATGCAAATTGGATTTCAGGAGCAGAACACTAGGTAGTGTCTTGACCATTCCTTTTATACTAATTATTAGACATGTGACTTGAAGAATGCATTGCAGCAAGGGTGACAAACTCTTCCAGACTTCTGTGAGTCACCGGGAAACTGAAAGGTCTCTCGTGGCTGGTGATTACTTTCCTCCTCTGCCCTTATAACTTGATTGTGATAATGTAGTTTACACCACAGTTTTCAAATTAATCAGTGTAAGTGGTTTTCAGAAAAATTTTAAAGAATTTCCTTATGATGAAGTGATTCTGCTAAGAGCATAGTCCAAAAAAAAATTGAAAGAATTAGAGTTTACCAGGTCAGTCCAGAATGTATCCAGCCACATAAAAAAAAATAGAAACCTTTATTGAAGAAGATACAAGAAACATTGTACTTAAGACAATGATGCCTCAGTCCTCTTCAAAGTAGCTACCTTGAGAACTCACACAGTTCTCCCAAATGCCATCAGCTGCCCCATCATTTTCCTGAATTTCATCAAAGGTCTGAAATCTCTTCCTTTTCAAAGGTGATTTTACCTTAGGGAAAAGCCAGAGGCCACAGGGCACCAAATCTGAGGTGTAAGGGAATGAATCACTTGGGTGATTTGATGTCTCATCTAAAAACTCTGCATGAGATGTGATGCATGAGCTGAAATATGGTTGTGATGAGTCTGCCAATCACCAGTTGCCCATAGCCACATCCTTCTGAATCATTCAAATAGTTTTTAAGGAGAAGTGTTCAAACTTAATGCAAAATATGATGCACACTCTTTGCATAGTGTCATTTTTAATGTGACAGCCACACAGTACACATGCTCAGTCAACAGCATCTACCACCTTCACTGACTAGTACAGTGAAGTCATCATTGTTCATGCATGCTCATTCCAGTCCACTCTCATTGGTTGCCA